CTCATTCCTATTCTTGCATTAGATTGTTTCTCAATTGTAATATTTAGAAAAATATTTATTTTATTATCAGAATTTATTTGTGATATTTTCATGTTCTTTTTAGAATAATTTATGTGCATAGAATTTTATATCAATTTATATTACAATATTTGGGAGACTTGATAGTGCCACCTACTGCTGAAAAACAAACTTTTTAAAAACTTGCTTGCTAGTTTGGGTACCTTCAGATTAAAGAGCAATGTAAGAAAATATCTGTTAAAATTGCAACTTTTAAACTTCTGAAAAATGTTGGAAACAAGTCCTGACTTGCCAAGTCAGCTTCAGTCACTGAATTTCTGACCTTTCAACCAGTTAGTATTTTGACCGAAACTGTAATGAGAAGTGACTCTGAGGATCTGAGATTTTGAGGTTTTTTGATGTTACATTTTTAATAAAGAATTTTAGATTAAAATCAGTTCCTGTGATATCCCTAAAAAAACACTGATGAAAGGAATCAGTGAAGCAACATCTATTTTTCACTCAGTGGTAGGAGGACATCCTCTGTTTTACGAGGTCTCTGCGTGAAATGTAACCCAAAGAGCCTGGAATTAGCATCACATGTGACACAAGTTCTGTTCCCTTCTTACATCACAGTCATGAGGTGGACCATAGATCCCTGCTTGCTAATTGGCAAAAGATGGCTGGAATTCATCCTCCCTAACCCCTACCTTCTGAAAGCTAGATGAAGTTAACATACAATCTGAAGTACAGTACTGGTTCTTTCGTGTCCTCATGGAGAAGACCCTGTCTCTAGGACTAGTGAAATAGTTATTATATGCCCACAACCTTTGCCCACATTAAGTACTCGTTATGATTTTGTTCCCAGGAACTGTGGAAATACAGGAAGTGGTAAGACTTTGTACATGAATATGAGTAAGTAGAATATACACCCTTAATCTTCCTGAGGAAAGTTCAGCTTTAAATTTGACTCAGAGGAGTCAGGAGCACTTGATCTTCTGCTGGTACTTGTCTCATCCTGTAGAATAAGCTGGCATTGATATGGTTTGAATGTGTGATTGTCAGAGTTGCTGTCTTGTTACAGCTTGATGAATTAACCTTAGAAATCAACTTCCTTTCAATTTGAAAAATTCGTGACAACAACGTATTAAAAGAGATAAAGGACAACACAGGGATGTTTTAGCAGTTGCTGAGCAGTGCTTGCACAGTGGCAGGGCCTTCTCTGTTTTCTGGCTGCCCCAACAGGAGCTGACTGGGGGTGCCCAAGGAGCTGGCAGGGGACACAGCTGAGACACTGACCCCAGCTGCCCACAGGGATATTCCAGACCATATGATGTTGTGCTCAGCATGTAAAGCTGGGAGAAGAAGGAAGGAAAGGGCGATGTTTGGACTGGGGGTGTTTCTCTTCCCATGTCACCAATACCTGTAGTGAAGCCCTGCTTTCCTGGAGATGGCTGAATGCCTGCCTGTTGATAGGAAGTGAATAAATTCCGTCTTCTGCTTTGTGTGCATGGCTTTTGCTTTCCCTATTAAACTGTCTTATCTCAGCCCAAAAATTTTCTCACTTTTACCATTCTAATTATCTCCCCCATCCCACTGGGGTAAGTGAGCATGTGGCTGTGTGGGGCTGAGCTGCCCTCTGGGGTTAAACCATGACAGTCCTGTTTTGGTGACCAACTTGAGGCTCAAATGCTTCGAGGTAATGACAGGTTTGGTCAGAGTTTGCAAGACTGAATTTATAGCTTTTAGTGCTATTTAGCTATTAATTGGCAGGTGCTGTGCTTGCCATAGGTCTTGCTTGCCCTGCTGCACATTAGTCTAAGCTTGTTAGTGGCTTCTCTTCACTCTGGCAGTTTGCTGTAGGGCTTATCATCCTACCCAGCTGTGCCTGGGAGCATTTTGATAACAGCCCTGGCAGTGTGCCTGGGCTGGCCCATGGCCTGGGTGTCGCTGCTGGCCCAGACAGGCTGCAGCTCCAGAGTCAGCTTGAATTGAAGGCACCTGACCTGTGGATAAGTCCCTGCAGGAGCAGGACAACCTGAAGTGTCTGTGCCGGTGGATAAGGCTTTGTTGGAGCAGCAGCATCTGTGGCCATGGATATGTCCATTGCACAGCAGGTACACCCCTGGAGGGACTGTGGCCCTTGGATAAGGCTGTGCTGGAGGAGGTGTCCCTCAAAGTGACTGTGGCTGTGCCTAAGGCCAGGCCACATCACCTGTACCCTGCAGGGACTGTGGCCCATGAGTACACACACTGGAGCAGGTCCACCCCTAAGGGACTGGAGTCTCTGGATAAGTCCACACTGCAGCAGAGGCAGGAGTAGGAGTCCAAAGAGAGATGGAAACTGTAATGGATGCACCTTTAAATTGTTGTAACTATGATCTGAGTTGCATGTTATAGGATTGCTGTAGCAGGAACCACTGCCAGGGGAGAACACATAGTGCAAGAAGTGGGGCACGTGCAACAGTGACCCAGCTTGAGCTGGCTCCAATAACTGCACACAACACAGCAGCTCTCTGGTCCTGAGTGACCACCAGGGCAGACAGAGCCTAATGTCCTGGACTAAATGAATTCAATGGACATTCACAGGTGTTTTATGGACACTTCACAGGGAATGATGCCTGTGAAGATAGGTAGGGATGGGAAAGAGGAAAGTGGCTAATGAGGATCTGTTGGATATGATGTAAATAGTAGGGAATAAGGTGTGGAGATTGTACTGGCTATGACTGGGATAGAGTTAATTTTCTTCATAGTGCCTTGTATGGTGCTATGCTTTGGATTTGTGATGAAAACAAGTGTTGATAAAACACTAATGTTTGTGCTTCTCATGTGACACAGGGAACACCTGCACTGTGACCAAGGAGGAAGGATGAGCACTCTCACCCTTGGAGAGGTATTTGTTCCTTATATGCAAAGTGCACGAGTTACAAGTTAATGAATTGCATGTTATGAATTAGAGAACTTGTTAGTTAGAAACCTCATGACCGACGTCATGAATTAGTGAATTCATGAGCTAGACTAGTTTGTACAAAGGGGATTGAGCCCTTCTTCACCATGTTTGCTTTCTTTCCTAATGAGCTTATAAAATAAAGTTTAATTTGCAAAGTACATTATCCTGTTAATTTGAGAGATCCAAACAGACCATGACAGATTGAGTGGTCTGTGGCCCTTCTCCCTATTGCCAGTCCAAATATTTTAAAACAGAGGCAAACAGGCAATGACTAGGGATCCTCCTCTGAAAGGAGTAGGGGAAATCCTTCATAACACTTAAGTTCTGTGTGCCTTGTCTATCCCACATTTTGTTTTCCTTTAAGGGCTTTGCCAGAGACTTCTGGTGCCTGCTTTTATTTTTCAGGGAAGTTATAGTCCACCCAGTCCTTCCCTCTTGTTTCACTCACTATGGACTATGGACTTTTAGTGTTAATGTGTGTCAGCCAAAACAATTAAAAGCAATGCACACTGTAGCCCAGAAAAACTAGAAAGGTTTGCAAATGTTCTTCTTCTGTCACAGAGAAATATGCAAACTCAAATCACAGTCAGCAGGAAAATGAATAAGCAATTTGATAATACCATGAGCAACAAAACAGCATCATAAAAATGAAATTATTTAAAGTAGCATTCAAATCACACAGTCATCATTGATTTAGTTTCCAATTATACAAAGGTAATTGTATTAACAAACTGCCTTATTCAGTTTGGTGGGGAAACAATTGAAAGTTTTAGTGTCCTGGCATCTGCAAATAATAAATGATATGATCTGTGCACCCAATCCAACTAGAATCCTAATGCTTTTTTTACCCAAGACATACTACAGTATCAATATGCCTGAGCAGCAGCAGCAGGACAGAAGGAGGCAGGAGACATGACAGAACTGCAGATGTGACTGGCAGAAGACTGGTGTCAAATGGTGCCAACATGACCCACCCCAAATGACTGTATTCCCTATTTTTGATTCAGCGGCAGGGCTGGTAACGCTGCCACTGTCAGGAGCTAATTGTGCTCACAGGAGTTGCCCTGTTTGTTCCTGGAAAGCCCTGGAGCAGTGGCACTGCTTCTGCAGCCCCTGCATTACACGAGGGTAGCTGTAAGGAGCCTGCAATGCACCTGCACTGCAGCACCAGCACTGAGCTGGGCAGTCAGTGCCTGTGCTCAGGGTATGGCTGTCCTTGGCAACTCACAGCTGGCACAGCAAAGCCAGCTGGAATTCATCTTTCAACTTAGATCTTTACAAAATATGAATTGATACCTTTTTAAAAAATCTGCCACGTTGCATATGCTGCCTTCTCTTCAGCCATTCCTTTTTTAAATCTGTCTGAACAAAGTTTACATAGAGTTTACACTCAAGTTTATGCAGGAAAAATTTTTTTAAAAGACCATAGTATTTTTAGACTGTGACACTAGAACTTTCCAGATGTTGAGCAATCACACTGCAATTTTTCTAGTAATACTCACTAGGAACAGAAATTATGCCTAGGAGAGACTGATGCCAAGTACCACTCCTTTTCCTTGTGAGAAGTGATGAGATGTTTTGTTAATAGATGTTTCTCAGCTTTCCACATCTATTGTGGTGATAATTTGTGTTGTAATTGCAATAAGTGTATTGTGTGCTCCAAATACTATAGCAGATGCAGCTACTATCCCAATGCAGCAAAGGATTGCCTGTATTCATTTGCAGTTTCTTAATCAATTGATTAAGAATCTGATTTTCCATCAAGCTCTCTGTTGCAAGGCCACAAAGGCTGCTTTTCTTAGCGTGCAGTGTGTGTTACATTAGCTCACAGACTGCTTTCCAGTGCAACAAAAGCTGGAGGTTTTCATCAAGGTTGCTTGATGAAAACAAGTCCGCTGACTGTGTATGTTTTTCTTAGGTGAGCTGATAATACCAAGCAAAAAAAGTAGGCCTGGAGTAGCCCTCTTGCTATAATTCAATATATTCAGGACCTCTGTAAGTCTTTTTAGGTTACCATGCAAACAATGAAAATGAGAACTTCTTGGAATGAGATTTTGCTGCAGTTCACACAGGTAACTTTTTCTCTGCTAATATAGACACTAAGTTGGCTGTATTAGTTGGCTAGTTTTGATAAACTAAATTGCTGTGACTCTGCCTGATTTCCTTGCAAAATATGAAGCTGTTTTTAAAGAGATTTGGTGAGAAAACACAGCACAGTGAATTTCACTAACTTCAGCTGGCTTGTAATGGAAAGGCCTGCCCTTAGGCAAGAACTTGATTACATGAAGAATAAAAAATACAAAATAAATCACATGCTTTAATTCTAAATTACATTATTTGATGTAATAAGAACTTCCATACCAGATAAAATCTAAATTAGTTGTCTGCCAATAGTAATTCCCAGATGTCTCTGAGGAAATTGGCCTATTCTTCAACCTCCTTTCCCCCTCTGCAAGTATAATTGATAATTATGTAACAGCCTGACTCTAGGGGAAGTTATTTTCTAACCTCAGGCTGGTGGCTGATTTATGCCCTGAACTGTGAACATTTATATCCATTATGAATTTTTATCAGGTCCAATCTAATTCCCCGCACAAATGTATGAATATGTATGTATAACCTTTTACTGAATCCTGCTAAGCACTTGGCCTCAATGATATCATTTGCGACCATGTTTCACAGGCATATTACTTTGGACTTTAAATAAAATGCCTTTTACTTACATTATCACATCAATATTTGCTTGGGGAATGTACCAGTGGTAGTGATAACCCCCAATACCCTTTCCCCCCTTTGCCTGCTCTGAACAGCTTTCAAGCCTCAGCTGGATCCTGTGTGCCTGTGCTGGACCAGAAGGTAACAATCTCCAGCCTGCCAACATTTTCTGCTCCATCCCTCTTAGTCCACACTTCACCTTTTACATTATGGGTTGACGACAGGGAGAAGGATGATGCTTGCAGTAAATGAAAAGGTTAAAGTGTCTTTAGGACTACAATCACTCTGCTGCACCATGACTTCCTGAATTTGCAGGGGTCATTTCCTTTTAATGTCAAGAGGAGAGTTTATTTTGGGGAGAAGTTGTTTTGGACCATGGGAAAGACATTAGTTTTGATTTGTGTTGGGTCAGGTCAAAGAGGTGCTTTTGTAAAATACTGGGGAGGGAGGACTTAACCTTGGGGTGGGCTATTACAGCTACATCTTATCACAGGAAAAGGGTTGATTATGTTTGATTTGGAGGAAATTGGTTATACCTAGCAAAAGAGGGTTTGATTAGGAATGATTCTGAATAGAAAAGTAAGAACTGTTTTACCTAAAGACAGAATTTCACTGAATGTCTACATGGGCTCACTACTGCCATGATAAGAATAGTTGGGTTTTGACTAGAGGCAAAAGAAGGTGAGACAGACTGTAGGGAAGATCATGCAGAAGCAGCATGAAAAAACAGTGTTTTCCTTTTTCCTCTCAGTCCTGAGACATTATTGGTGGCACCTGCAATGAAAAGAAGACAATGAGGCCAAGTTCCATGCATGAAAAAATATGAGTTTGTGAATCCTCATAACACACTCTCAATGAGGAACTATTATTGAGCTGGAAAAGTTAATTTATGAAGAACAGGGATATATGCAAAGCCAAAAGGGACATGTGGGGTGGTTACAACAGACAGTTGGCAGTAACTCCATACAGTGATCACAGTCAGTATTAAGCATCTGTGGACTTAACCACAAAACTTCAATATTGGTGTAAATTCTTTAGCTTGGGAGTGAGTACTGAGATCTGGTCTCTTGTTGGTTCAGTTAATTATATAATCAACAGCTCTGAAGTTTTTATTTGGATTAAAATTTCCCTGGAACTCAAGTAATTTAGATCTGAAGTTTTGGCTCTAGTCCCTTCCCAGCTTGTACTCAATATAAATTACTCTCCTAGAACCATGACATGTTCAATTTATCCTCCATTTTAGATGGTTGAAAAGTGCATGCATAATTCTGTGCATGCCACACTTTCTGTAATCTACTGTGACAAATAGACCAAATGACTGAAACTGCTAGGTAATACACTTTATTTTAGTCATGAATCCACACCCAGCCGTAGTTAAAATACCAGGCATTTGAATTATTTGATTTGAATCAATGCCAAATTCAATCTTATGCAAACCAGAAAGGGAGAGGGAGAAGAAGTCCTGGTATTAACCCAGTGATTTATGCGTGGGAACATAAGGCCATAACAAGCAGCAATCGGCCAATTGTAACAAAAGGAGTGGACCACCATGAAAAATCTGACAACTTTTCATTGGAGCTGCTGTGATTGAGGGGTTGGGAACATCTAGGGGCCATTATCTAGGGGTATTACACCTAGATTATGACCACAAGAAAAGTAGACTCAGGGACCAGGATTCCCTCAATTCCACCTTCTGTCAAAAACACTGGTCAAGCTCAGTACTCAGTACCATCTCCACTCACACTGGGAGGATTTCCATGGTGCAGTACTACAGAGGAAAACAAATATTCCCATTCTGGAGAGAAAACCAGAAAATAGTTATATCACAATTGTCTGAGAGAAGTATATTTTTTTTCATTATCTAATTCCTGATAATTATGTCAAATTAAGATCTGTATCCAGAAATAATGAACCTTGGTGTTGAGTTTGCATCTCCTGGGTCATTCTGACTTGCCCATTAGGGCCACAAGTTTAGGTACAGGGAGGCAAAGTCACCTGAGCCTTCCCCAGGAGAAAGGAGTAATGCCTAGAATTTTGTCAGCATAAGAAATCCCACAGGGATTTCTTTGAGGATGACTTTGAGGATTATTTTATACTCTGAAATATTACTGTTTTCCAAGAGCTCTTTTTACTTTGTAGCAAGGCCATGTTTGCATAACCAAATGATAGGAAAGGCGTCCAAAACAACTTTTTAGCTACACCTACTAATTCCAGTATTCAACTCAACCCAACCAAGGAGGTTTCTGGGTAGTGGCCTTGATCATTACTGCAGTTATCTTTACCCACTGGTGCCCAGAGAGGCTCTGAATGAACTTCCTCTGAAGTTACACATGGAAAGGTCCAACTCCTTGTAGCTCTTGAAGCAATTTTCTCCTCAGCCAGAGACCTATCCCCTAATTTGATGCCTCTCAGTGAAAATGTTTTTTCTCTCAGTTGTCATGCCAAACAGTTGTCTGCTTTGTTCGTTTTTTCACAGAAAGGCACCTGTTCAATTTTAGATACTGTTCAGCCTGTTCCACTTCAGTGGTCTACACTACTCCTCCGAGAGCCCTGAGCTCTGCACATATTTCAGGCTGCCAGCTCTCTTATGTGCTTTTCCCCAGCAGCCAATTTTGCTCAGAAGCTCTTATGACTGAGCCAGCTTCCATTCCTTCATAAAGGGATACCCTCTTGTTATTGCAATTGAGGAGTTCCATAAGAGGCTTTTAATGTCTCCAGAGTGTTGTTGTGTACAATAAAATCCTGAATTAAGCTTTACCTAACACTTGTTCATGCAATACTGATTTATTGGCAAATTGCATTTGTTTTTGCTGTTGACAAATGCTTTTAGGTTTATTTCTAATACCACAATTCCATTATCAGATTAATATAGGCTTAAATAAAATGTTATATGCTTCATTTGAATAGCAGAACCATTTCCAAGCCTGAATCACTAATATGTACACTGCCATCTTGTGTCCTGAAATTCTAGGTAATATAAAAATGCACAACATACATAGAGCTTTTCACAAAATAGGAGATAGCTATATGAGTGGAATCAGCAAGGTTACCAAGGGATCTTTACTGCAACTTCCTTCTCTTTCTTGTAAAATATAAAATCGCCATTAAAATAGCAAGTCTGATTGATAATTCTAAATCTATCTGTTCTAAGGATCTATTCCTTTTAATTAGTGATTTGTGGGTAACCCAATGGGAAAAAAAAAAAGGCTACAGAGAAAATTCTGCTACAGCCAAGCCACTCTCTTTTCCACCAATAAGGTCCAATACGGACTCCAAGGTGTGGCTCTGTTGGAAGGCAACCTCTGAGCTGGTGTGGGGTTCCCAGAGCAGTTCTATTCCAAATGCTTCTCTTCTGCCAAAGGGGGTATGATAGAAAAGAGTGAAGACATGTATTTTTAGCTGGAATCTCTCCCTTTGGAGCAACCATGGTCCAAACACAACTGGATCATCACTGAGTCTGCTCCAGTGCTCACCACAGGACTGGGCACCTGGTTGCAAGAGGACCTAAAGTGACATGTACTTACAAAATGAAGAAAGTGAATTTCTGCCCCACAGTTTATTCAAAACTAAGACATTTTAGTGGATGAAATAAGTACTCCATGCTTTTTCTCTAAAAATGATAATTCCTTCATAACATGCTAATCAAAGAAGCCTTTTCATACAATCATACTTCCAATTGCTTTCACTGAATATAACATTTAGCTCTGCCTTTTTGTTATGTTTTTATTAATTTTAGCTTCTGTCTTCTGTTGTTTATTGTTGCAGATGTGTAGGAGCAGTCTCAAACAGTTTTCAACAATGGCTCTATAAAACCCCAAAGATTGACTCTGCGCAGTTATTGTTGCCTGAAACGAGCATAGGGAACAAGATAGGAAAAAAGGTGCAAAATCAAATACTAAACTTAGAGACACCTGGGGCAGGGCAGAAAATAGTGAAAGCCTATCAAGGTAATAGATGCCAAGGTAAAAGGGTAGAGAACATTAGCAGGGGACAGAAGCACTCTCGGCCTTACCTGCTTGGACATTTGCCTCAGTTAGTGGTTTTCCATGCCAATTTTTTTTCTTTCCACCTGTTGGGAATTTCTTAGCCAAGTGTGTACACACATTTGTGTACGTGAACTTAGAGTATTATTTGCCACCTCTGAAAGGCAAACACTTTGAGGCACCCATTGTTGTCTGAAGCAGGCAGGGCTTCTATCTCCCAAGGTCATTTTTTATGCCTTACATGCATAATATACAATGACACGGAGTTTAAAGAACCTCCCTTTCTTGTGACATGAGCAGTTACAATGACTTGAAAGAGCTTTTGCTTCTGTAACAATACTTTTATAATACCTTACTGCTTTATGAACTTGTCTTCAAAAAGCAACGTGTGTCTTGCGGCCTGGTTGCATAACCTCCTGCTCAGTAACAGGAGAACATTAAAACTGTTTGCACAACACAGTGTTTAAGTAACATAAAAGCTTATTGAAAAGGGCTTTGCAATTTCAAAATCTGGAATGCTTTGCTAAGATTGTTAATGCTATTTTATTTACTTTATCTGCCCATAAGATTCCTGCCAGTTTTCTTCGTTTTCCAGTGGAGAGTCATACTTCCTTACTTTATATCCTTTGCTGTGTTATTATCCAAGAGATTTTCAGATAGAAAAAGCTAATTGGCTACATATGAGGAATGATAAAACAGTAACTCCAATACTGCTAGAAGTTACATAAAATTAAGCAGGAAACTGTTTTATTCTACTGTAACCTTTGATGTGGTGTGAATTTACCTCCCTGGTGACTGAATAGCACTGGCTGTAATAGTTACGGGAAAAGCAGAAGAGGGAAAACTACTGCAAACAGAGCAGGTCTGGGAGGAGAACTGATGTCTTTTGTGCCCTCAGTTCCTGGAGATGTTGGCTGACACAGCCTGTGACTGGTCAGTCCAAGCCTCTCAAGCACGCCATGCTCCAGCTTTTGAGTGTCTGCCAGCAGCTGCCATACTGTGTTAGACTGTTTAATGTCCTAGCAATGGATGCAAGTTTGTTGTTTCCATTTCCAGTTGGCTTTCCATTAGCTGGTTCATTTTGTCACTGTCAGACTTTCACTGATTGTAGAACATGCCTGTCCATCAGCTGGCCTATTTTGGTACTACCTACCAGCAGAAGTGGATGGTGGGAGACAAAATATTTGGGATAATTCTAAATATGTGAATTGAACCTATCCCCTCTGGATGAGTTACTGCATGCTGCAGTACCATGAGTAAGCTGCTGGTGGAATCCTAAATGTGAACTTTGGAGAAAATACTAGCTCAAGTTTAGATTTTCACATTCCCATCTCAGAGTGCTCTCTGACCACCCAAAGCCACAAGCATTAGGCAAAATTGCAAACACTGTGTGCAGCTGGGTCCAGCTAAACCAAGAGTGTCCTTTAAAGATCAAAGAACACTCAGAGAAAGAACAGCATCAGGGAAAGGCAGATAGAGCTGCACTGAACAAAACTTCAAAGCCTTTACTTATATTTTATCCTGTAATTAAGCTTAATATTTCTAAGCTTTTCCAGGGGTACAAAGCCTATCATGTCTGTAATTGCAGTCTTGGCTCTCCTGATAGAAGCAAACTACCCCACATCCCTAGAGCACACACTACATTTCCCAGAGGCTGTGCAGGTAGTTTATTACTCAAACATACTTGTCTGAAGAAAAAGGAACTGAGCACAAAATAACAGGTCTTGAATTTAAAGTTTCATAGGTTTTTGTTTTATGTTTTAACGCCTTTCCTTTAAAGTGTCCATCTGCAGGGCTATAAACATTAGTGAGGAAGCCTGTGCCTAGGTTTATTTCTGTTAGCAAGAGCAGCTGGCCATCTGCCGGGTAAAAGGAAGGCTGAGCTTTGGTGGATTTGGAAGCAAAGGTCACAAACAGCACATCCCAGTCCTTTGCCAGTGACACATTTAGGCTGTGACAGATCAGAAAATGCTTTGTTAATACACCCTGCTCAACTTTCCAGATCTCCTTAGATCAGAACTCTGTATCATGGAATCTCAAGTGCTTTCACACAGAGATGGTGTCTGTGTAAGATAATTGTTGTCCCCAAATGTGGTAGGTCAAATGAAAAGATGTCACCAGGTCCCAGGGTCCAGCTTCAGCCTCTGTGTTTCAGGTTGTGAGATGGGGATGTCTGTGGATGCTGGGGACTCCAGGACCCACTGCTGGCCCTCTGCTGGGACCTGCTGCAGGGATTTGCAGGGCTGAGGATGTAACTCACCACAGAGGCACTGATTAAAATCAGCTCATTACAGGCCAGCACTCCAGAAGTCTGAGGGATGCTTGTGCAGCTGGCTCTGGAGTCTCATTCCAACACTTGGTACATTCTGAAAAGTCCTGGAAGCAACGTACAAGGTAAGATAGAGTGAGAAATCAAGAGTTGACTGGGGGAAAAAACACCAAACTTGCAAGTATTTTCTTTAAACCCACTCAAAACATAAGTGACTCAAATCTCAAGTAAGATTGACAAGGCATAAGGATCAAGTTTGCCTGTTTCAACACAGCCAACAATGCCATACAAGTCAAATAAGAGCTATGGAAGGCAGGAACATTTGGCAGTACTGGGATACACAGGATCACCCGGAAAATAAATCTGAGGCAAATAATTCTTCCTTTTTAATTTTTAATGGCTTTTAGAAACTGCTTAGAAGCTACAGTAAAATGTATTTAGATACTATATCAAAAGTGTTAAGAAGATACTTTGCTGATATATAAACACACAATTCAGTTGATTACAAACTAATTGCTAAAAAGCTTTCGGTAAAAGCCCCTGAAGATTCAAAAGCAGTGCTTTCTGCTCTGAGAGTTGGAGAATTTGAATGATGTACTGAGCACTGAATGAGGAATTTAAACATCTTACTGGAGGCATAAGACAGAAATTATTTCTAGCCATTAAAGGAGAAATTCAAACAGAAGAAAAGCTCAAATTAGGGACTCAAGAACAGTCACTTTAGCTCTGTCTTGCTTTCCTGTGTACCAGGAGTCACACTCTCAATTCCAGATGAAACTTGCTATTTTAATTGGGGTAAGGCACTTTTAATGCTCTTGGCCCAAGAGTATTTGCTTTGTACCAAGATGTCCAAGCAAGTGCTACCATTGTCACAGCAAGATAATTGTTCTGATAAATGTCTTCATTTTCTAACTCTCCCTCTCTTGAATTTATTATCATGGTTTTATTCTCTCTTCAGGCACAAGGTTGTACTATTTTCCTTAACTGCCCTCTTAAAACTAGTGCATCCATAGGCCAGGAGGGAGTGCTCTAGCTTGGGAGCCAACACTATTATTCCAGAGTCCTGATGTTCCAGCAAGCTTGGGAATGATTGCCCTGAGGTTTCTCACCAAGCTGCTTTCAGCTCACAAGGGCATGAGGAATCACTTAGTACCTCTTTTTATGCCTAGTCATTAGGTATATTTACAGTAGTACTTTCTCCCTCAAAGTCTGGCACTGCTTTCTTTGCCCCTACTTTCTGTTTTACAACTGTTCCTTTGCCCCTAAACTTCCAGTCCTGCAGCGCTGAGGAGCCATGAACACAAGGACAGCTTGTTTTTTCACTTCTCAACACACAAAGAATGTTGTGTTAAAGAGAAAATAAATTCTGTTTTTCTCTCATTTGGAAATGCCTACCTTCTTCAGCCACATCACTGCATGTAATGGAGCAGTAAGCTGGTCTCCTATCAAACAAAGCAAGCAGCAGAGATTAATTATCTCACAAATATTTTGGAGAATCAAGCAGTTCACCCATTTGTGCTGCTCCATTTCCCGTGTTTTCAGCTGAAAGAGCAGGCTGCTGTCTAAATTGATGGCATCCTTTTCAGCTGAGACCAGCTTAATCTATTTTGTGTTCTTCAAAAACGGAGCTGCCTTTGTTGTCCCCTGTATGTGCCACATTTCTCTGTTGAAACAAAGCACTGGAGAACAGCACTGGCTTGACAGTGCCCGAGACTGGAGTCCTCAGGTCTGGCAAGGCAGCAGCAGCAGGAGCATTTAAGGTGTCCTGCTGCTGCCAATTCCACAGGATAAGCTGATGCCAGTCATTAATTGTATATACTTAATTAAACTTCTACAAGGCACAAATCAAATATGCAGGTTAGTTCAAATCACATCATCATCAGGAAGGAAAGAACATTTTAAAAAGTTAAAATCAACAAATAACCAATATTTCTAAAAGGAAAGGGAGACATACGGCCAGGCTGCCCATTGGTAGCTCTCACTATTCTGTCTGCTTTAGCAGTGCTTGCTTACTTATTGGTAATGATGCTTTTTAGTGGTTCCTACCCATGAGTGTCTACTTTTCTCCATGAGGGTCTCTCTCTCATCACAAAGACAGTTTAGCTGCCTGTGGAGCAGCTGCTGAACTGCTCCAGTTTACGGCCTTGCATATTCAGATAAATTGCCACTCATTTCTCTTAATATACTGTGCTGTAATTTGAAAAACCCTGAAAATCAACCCTTTTCATCAGTATTCTGATGTTAAAACTGTATTTTCAAAACAGCAACAGATTTGCATTTGAGCAGAAATGTTGCTTTTACTCATTCAGATATTCTGTTCAGCTGCCTTGGACTGCCCCAGCCTAAACTAGAGTTGAATCAACATTTGTTTTGTTTCACATAATGACAAAATTAGCTACATTTGTTCAAACTCCTTTGATTTACTACCTGATCTTATTATTCAGAATTCAGTCTGTCTCCTCCTTTTGTGTTTTTTTGAGCTCTGAAGGGGCAGAACTGAACAACTTAGATCCAGTTCCAGGAAAAAGGAGAGTAAGTTATGGAAGCTGCATGCTTCTGCCCCAAACAAAATGCAAATGGTCTAGTACTGGCATAATGACAATTTAGCTGTAAACCATTAAATCATTACTTTTCTACTGTGGTTGACCACCAGTGCAACACCACATGGTGGACGGGGCTCACTAGCCTGTTTTTGGATTCCCTGTTCACAGCTCTGTGACTCTGGTTCCTCTTTCACTGACTGCAATTCCTCCTTCCCATTTCTCCATTCCTTGAGTAACAGGAGAGGTACAAAAGAAACATGGTACAAGGAAACAGAACATCCTATGTTCATGACATTGGCAGTCTCCTGCCAAAGCTTTCTGTGGCAAGCTCAAAAAAAGCCATTTCTAGATGTTCAGTTTGCCTCCATTATCTTGCCATGTAATTGCTTAGGGTGCTCAATTCCCTCTTGGCACAGCACATGAAGGGACCATTAAATGCCTAAGAGCACCAGGTGTGCTTGTCCACACTCTGCATGACTCTCATCTAATCTGTTCTCATTAGCTGTGCATGTATTCCTGAATGTCTTCATTCTCAGGCATGTCTCTCAAAATGAATTGTATTACTCTCCTACATTTCTTCAGCACATACAGGGAGAGCACCTCTGTTTTGGGAGTCCACAGGGAATTTGAGCCAAATTAGAAGGAATCACAGGAAACTTTGGGGGAACAGACTAAGAAGGAAATGAATAGCACTCAAGGCTGAAAAAGGATACAAGTTCATGGGACAGGAGAAAGTGGCTATTTGGATAAGCATATCTAAAAGTAGTTTAGTGCATAAACTGCAAATCTGCAGAACATCAGAGTCAGCCTAACCCATTTCCCCATCAGACCTTAAATGACAGTGATAGTCTCCACTCTTAGCTGTTTGTTAGAAGACTGTGCATCTGATTTATGAAAAGGATATGGGTGCCGGCACATATCAGAAAAAATACAGATGCCTTCATTGTAAACTGCCTTCCATTTTCACAAAGCATCTGGAAATTCAGATGTTTAATAAAATTTCCTCTTTTTAGCTATATAATCTTGACTTTCCATTAGTAGCTACCTTTACAGGACAATTTTACTATTGTGGGGGAGATAACTATCAAATAATATATGATATGATTGATATGATATGATATGATATGATATGATATGATATGATATGATGTGATATGATATGAGAATTATTGAGAAAGGCTTAATCTAAGATGTAGATGTTTTATTATTTTCTGACATCTAGTTCCCTCAAGATCATGAAAACCTATTGTTTTAAGGAAGGGAAAAGATACTGTTCCACATGAAAAGTGACCAAACCAATGGCACTATGTGATGGGAACCTTAGAAGTAGAATCAAACACGTAAGGTGGGTTTTGTTCATTATAAAGAGTCACTTAATTATTTGTCAGCTTTCTTTTGGGAACAGTTTTTGCACAGTCTGTTCAAACACTCTGCCTGTCCCAAACATTGTGTTTACACAATTACATTGCTCAATTGTGTGTCTGATGTTGCATACCTTGGTTTTCCCCAGAGCATACATGGGGAATTGTCTTAAAATGTAATAATCACTAGAAGAAAATGTTCCTTCTCTTTAAACTCCAAGAATTTGCAATAGCTGATTTGTTTCTTAAGTTGCCTGGCTATCTGATCCAGGAAAGGGTTTTTGTGAGTCAGCTACAACAGTCAAGTGTTAGAGTTTTAACTGAAATATGTCAAACTTTTCTGCCAAGTCATCTGATAAATGTCCCTGTTCAGCTGGAAAGAACTCTGTAAAAGATTCAGTCAAGAACAGTACAAATACACTAGGCTTTTTATTAACACCTTTTTCTTATTTTAATTAAGCGAGTAAAAATTCAACTGACTTAAACTGCATTCAAGCACAATTAGCCCTCTACATACCCTTGTATTTAGCCTCCTCCTGAGAAGCTGTTCTCACCCAGAAATTGTAGAGCTCTTGTCATACTTAAAATCTTCTCAAAAGTATATAAAAGGATTGAGCTTCTAAGTAAAACACAAGCAACAGTTTCTTTCACAATACAGTTTATATGTTATACACCCTTAGGAGTAACAACAGTTATTAGAACCAATACTTCTAGAGACATGAATAAGATAAGTACAGAATTAAGCAAATGTCATTATTATGTAATTTCTTCTTTCTCCTCTAAATTCTGAGAAATTGCAGGAGATTGGGAGAATTTTAATGTAACACATGTAGTGCATCAAACTACATTATTAGATTGGATATTAATTAATGTAGTCCAATAACTATATTGTTAGACTGGATATTTCAGCAGAGTGCTGTAATATAATGTATTTTACAGTATGGAGAATTGAGAATAGTCATGAGATAATGTCATCAAGACAAAATGCAGGTGAACTGGAATTGCAACAGGCAGGAGAGTATAGATGCAAATAGTTTCTACAGAAGCTCCCTTGTCATGCTGGGCAGTTACATTTCACTTTAACTGACAGCTCTCTTAAAAAAGGGGAAGTGGGAAAAGTCTTGGGGCAGTAAAAAAGGAGTGTGCACTTGAGCTCCTTTGGGATATGGACCTTATATGCTAGCTGTCTGTAAATGTCAAATT